CGGGTAAATAAATTCCCAAATCTACTGCTTCTACTAGATGTTCATTTATTTTTAAGTTTATCTTACTCAAACAAGTGATAAAAAAAATGTTTAACAGGAAATATCTACACAATCAATATAATTCAATTCAAAAATATATAGGTGACGTCATATGTCAAATATTAATCACGTCACAAACAAATAAATAAGTACCATCAAAGAAACATTTAAAAACACTTATTAAACCTACCATAAGTAATTTCAAAAATACGTAGAAATAAATCTCTCGAATCTCTAGATAATTACTTTTCCAAATCCCACAAAGCCTGTAATTTAAAATCTGCAAACCCCAGACCATTAAGGCCCAACTTTATTGGTATTTTTATTGTGACCGTTAAAATTTATTGCCGAGATACACCTTTCTGTGATTGACGAAATAATTCAGAACAGTCTAGATTAAAATGCTGTTGTGTAAGTCGTCTTTCGTAAACAACGGCATGTTTTATGGTCGCTATCAAAAATTCGGAGCATTAAATAATAATAAAATAACCACTGCTCCGCTCTTTAAAACATCCTATTAGTCTACATTAAAACTGTTTAGACAAGAACGAAAATATTTTCCCTAACCCCCGGGGATCTTCACCCCGGAATATCGCCGTCATTTAAGTGAGGCTTGGGATATGAATGTAAATAAGTCAGACGGACTCTTTTATTGACACTCCTGTGTAACCAATGAGATTTACGCTTAGATTTTCGCCGATCAATCATTGTCTGTAGTAGCAGACTACATGATACGGCAATCTTGTGGGTCATTTATGAAATACGTAATCGATAACATGTAATATTTGTGGCGGTTGATATTTCTCAATTTAGAAGGGAGCATATTTTCAACGTGTAACCTCTGAACTAGATCGATGCAAAGTTTTTAGAAAAATTACGTTGAATAAGGTTAGATTGTCTACATAAACCGCTTATAGAATCAATTCCATTTTGCAATTTTTGCGTCATTTTAGATTTCCTAATTTTTTTTAACAATATAATTCAATAACAATTTCCATATAAAAATCGGCACAAAAAATCTTTACACCACTCGCGCAAAGTCGTGCTTTTACAAATCTTCGCTATTTGTGATCATGAAAATGAAAGAATATAATCAAACCCAGATAATCAGACAACCGAGAACCGCGAGTTCGAATTCCGCCTTGGTGCTGAACTTTTTTTCTCACCTTTACAGTTTTTTTTTTTAGATTACACATATTATTTAATTTATTTATTCCTGTGATGTACGTATATTAACAGTTACCTTAAATTGGGTGTTCTGGCTGAAAACTTGGAAAAAAGATATAAACCACTTGGCAGTGACAGAACTACAAGTGATAATGCCAACCGATATCGATAATTATAAAAAAATCTCTAGGTTTTTGCCGGCCTCGGCCGCCAATTTTTTGGTTTCTGACCATTAGAGACATATCGATAAACACGTCAAAAAATTAGTCTAACGCAGAGTCAAAAAAGTCCAGTGTACTTAAATAAATGATAAAATTTGATTCTGCAAATTTGGTTTTTGCATCAACAAATATATTAAAATAATAAATATGGGATGGTTAATAAAACACATATTGATCCATATTATTTCATATATTTTACATAAGATTTACTGTTGTTGTATGGCAAATGGTCCAATAGTTTCTTAGTTAATTTTTGTTATGGAAAAAGTCGCTTGAAACGTATGCATAGAATGCTTCTCTACCTGTAGTATGACAGACCACACGTATCTTTATTTTAACTGATTGAGGTTATGATAAAAAAATAAAATTCTTAAAATTAAGTTCCATAATTTTTCTCTGTTTCTTGTCTCGTTTCTGCAACAAAAAATGACGCCATTAAATATTTTTAGACTAAGTCGTCTTTTTATATATACATATTGTTATAAGTTATGCAAAGAAATCTTGACAGACAATAAAAATTGCTACACGACATCTCTGCTTAAAAATTGAGCACCTAATATTACCAGCGATTTTTCTTCATACTTGGAAAGATGCAAATATACCTCCTTACGACCAAATGAAAAATGAGGTCGAGCAAATCTCCCCCAAAATTCCCCCAACTAAATTACACAACATTTCTTTTTGCTAACTTCCTTCCTTTTAATCAACGTTAGAGTTTGTTTCTGGAGAACTGTTCTCACTTCATCGGATTAATCCGGTGTATCGTAAAAAATGTGCTATAAAAAGAGAACGTGGGCCTAGCTATAATCTATACTGTAAGACTAGACTCATGAAATATACCTTTACCAAATTGGTACATGACACAAAAAATAACCAATTATAAACACATAATTGTTCAATTGGGTAAAGATGAATTTTTAATTATAATTTTAAAAATTTTATTTTTTTATTATAACCCCTATTAGTTAAAATAAAGATACGTGTGGTCTGTTATGGTACAGGGAGAGAAGCATTCTACGCATACATTTCAAATGAGTTTTTCCATAACAAAAATTTGTGATTACCTCATCAACATTTTAGCAACAACATGACTTATATGTCGTAGACAATTGTCATCCCGATATCAAACTCAGTTTAAAAATTATTCGATGTGACAGGTGGATGACAGCTTTCAAAATTTATTTAAGAAACGACATACGAAAAAAAACAAAAACTGGCGATATTACATTCTTGAGCAGATTTTTAATTAGACAGCCGGAACCAATAATAACTACTTTCTAATTTTTGGAAAAATCATTTAATCAATAAAAAAATCCCATTTCACATTGCTTCGTATTATGTATCTAAAGAACGGCTTTACTCTTAGAACAAACAAAATACAGATGGATTCATAAACCACAAGTACAGGAGTATGTTCTTTTATAAAATTTAAGTAGCATTTACTATACAAAATTTTGAGATGACGTCATCAAAATGTTGGTGGAGATGATTACACAAATTTTGGTTAGCGTTTTATTGTCTGCACGATATTTCTAACATCCATATAAAACTTCACAAGAATCAGTCCGTTACGTCTAATTAAATACATACAATGATTTATAGTAGGGGAAACGAGAGACCTGCTTTTTCACATTCTAGAGTATGAAAATCTTTATAGAGATGACTTTCACGGTGCTGCATTATTCTTTGAACTACCTAATTTTAAGAATATGCTGCGCATGTTACAAACCGATGGGGATTTTACGATTTTTAAATATACCATTTTGTAATTAAAGAAAGAACGAGATATTTTTAATATGAAAAAAAATTAGTCGAAGATTATTTTGACAACATTTCCCTCGCTCCTGAAGTACAGTGCAACAAATCCTGCTTTTTTGAAAAATTATAAAATTTTATTTTGCGATTTTTGTTGTGTGATAACCTCTACAGGAAAAACCACAAAGGCGAATTCCAAGGAGGCCAGATCAGCAGAAGTGCGAAGAATATGAAATATACTTAAAGTAAATAACCAATGGCAAAAAATGTATGATCAGTACTTGCTTAACTTCTACTTTTGTTTCTACTTCGAAAGAACTCAGCTACATATTAGCACGTGCAAATAACAAGCATCAGCGACAGCATTTGTGTTAAAAAAAAAAATGAAACTGGATTTTGTCTCTTCAAAACAAAGGAGAGGACTAATTAATTAATTAATTAGACTACAATAGAGCAAGACGATCCGAATATTATTTTGCGTAAATTGCTGTTATTATGACAATTATTATTTGATTATTATTAAATATAGACGGACTCGACATCACGGTATACACTTTCGAGACAATTGGATGAACAGTTTTTGATTTGATGAATAAAAAACAAAACAAAAAAAATTGAACATGTCCGGGTACCGAATTCGAACCCAGAACTTTCATTTGTTTGGTTCGCGAATACCTACTCCACGAGAGACGCTAGTTGAATTTATTATAAAAATTATAATAACAATAAAAACTATCAAGGTGAATTAATGAACCACAAGTACAGGAGTACATTATTTTATAAGATTCAGATATTTTTTACTGCGCAACATGTTGAGTTGACGTATAAAGATTAGATAACTTTCGGTTAGTGTTTTACCACTTATGATAACATAAAAACACAATTTGACAACAATCACTACGGTGACAGTTTTGGATATTATCTGTTTAATAAAAATTTACAAACGACAAACAGACGAAAACGCGAGACCTATTTTTTCATACTCCACAGGTCATGAAACTTCAAGAAAACATGAAAGTACCATTTACCAGATGAATTCTATTACAATATTTAGTTATGTAGCTTACGCTCGGGATGTAAAAAGTACAAATTTCTCCTTCAGCAACTAACAAATAAAGAAGAGGGGCTTCTTTTGTATATTTTACGAAAATATTAAAAACGATGGTTTGAATGTGAAAAATGAAATGTCCAATATTCAATCTAATTCAATTCAAAATTTGCTTTACATAAACCACCATCATCAAAGAGCCATCCGACTGAGTCCTTTGAGTAGATAGCTCTCTCTAGATTTCAAAGGGATATTATTATGATGTATGTATCAAAATACGACAGAAAAAGTTTCCTCAAAAAAACGAGCTACAGTCAAATCGGCATTAAAGGTCGCAGAACGTTAAATTATTGTTACTGTTATTAGAAATGAAACTACCTAATGATGCCATTTTTTTCAAAGTAAAACTAATACATCATCATAATTAAAATTTACACCAAACTATTATAGAAAAACGCTTTTTAATTTCATTTGAGATAAAAGATGAAGCCATCTAATTCTTCGAATTTTTTTTAATACAAATATTTGGACTTAAATCAAACCGCTGAATATTTCGAGAATTGGCAAAAATTTATTTAGGCGTAAATGAATTTCATACCCGTGATACCCAAAAATAGTGCTCAAAATTTTATCAGTTACTCTAATATTTCACTCAATTTAATTTACACAGTTGCAACAAATTTATCAACTTCACGTTGAATGACTTCGGTTCACTCTTTTATCATTTAAATTTTAATAGCAATCTAGTTGAAAAATACTGTTTATTTCAGAGGAAGAAATAACATTACTGGGTCGAGTAGGATTTCCAGCAGTCCAGCCCTGCGTCAACTATCTTTCAGGGGGCATCGACGGAGTCAAAGGGTACGAACCTCGAGGAGATTGGCAACACAGTAAGACCATTACTTATTAAACATTCACAATACCGAGTGACTGATTTATTACAGGAATGCAAAACTTATCAATATCCTGCGCCCTAGTCTGCCTAATAGTTTTAGGAAGTGCAGCCCTTGTCGGCGCTTTCGGCGTATTCCAGCACCAAATCAGCGCAGTCTTAGTCACAGGAGTCATGTATTTATTGGCTGGATCATTTGCACTTTTCACGTTAACAATAATACACTTCAAGAGGTTACACAGTAAACCTGGTGGTATGGATTCTGATGGAACCGCAGATGGGGTGGTCAGCCCAATGGGTGGAAGAGGGGTGACTGAACTGCTTCCTGCCCGCATTTTTACGACCTCATGGTCGTTAGATCTGGGATGGGGAGGTGTCATGTTATGCGTAATGACATCCGTTTTGTGGATTTTATTATCGAAAATAATGAGGTTTAACCCCATATCCAGCATGATTAACTGAGCAATAACGGTTAATTATAATCAGTAGCTTTAATGGGGTCATTTTATACTGTCACTTCATCGACTCAAATTTTATACTTCATTAATTTACATTAACTTAGAAAATAACTACTGATTACAATAATCTTTGATAAATGTGTACAAAAGTACGGAAATGAGAAACACGACAACATTCTCACTGTCTATACTTAAAAATTCAAAAAACCGTCTCCATCGCAAAAATGCTTGCATTAAAAGTATAATCAACAAATGTGGTTTTGTAATGAATGTCCATATACATTGCTGATTTCTGCATTCAGAATTATAGACGTAAAATGACGCAAAGCTAAGAAGCCGTCCAAGCAATCTAATATAAAAAAACTGGCCATCGATGGACCTGCTTCTTATCGAATAAACATCAATCAAAAATCCCTGAAAATAATTGTTAGCAAGCTACTTATTGCAATTGTTGTTGATATTTTTCATTATCAATTTTAACTAATTCTAACAAATTTTATACACTTTTGGCATACAAAACGGGAGCAATAAAGTAACAAATTGAGGTTAGGTTGACCTAACCAAATCGCGCAATACCTGCCTTCAAGAATGCCTGCATATATTTAAAATTTAAAACGTATATTTTTTACTGTTGGAGTTGCTTGCCTTTGCTCGCTTTTGTATCATTAAAGCCTCGTTGTATATATTTTGCAAAATAAATATTTTCAATGTTACCATAACCTAACTTTCATTCCACACACGATCTCAGCTACTCGTCTTACCTTCTATACAATTTGTTTAACAACACGTTCACCAAAAACAAAAACTTAACAACTATCAGTCGTTACACTTTTATTAGCTTGTTGCCTCTTCTTGCAATTTTAACGGTTGATGCAAAAACTGGCAAAAACCCGCCTAGTTGTTAAATTTTAATCACAGAAATGACAGAACACAGAACGTCAGAGCGCCAACTTTACAGAGATTTGCCAACTTAAAAGAATTAAAGATACTTTTGAAAATGTGTTTAATAAATTTTATTTGTATTAACTTTTAGTATGCAACTGTGCTGATGATTTATAATTTTACTGAATAGTTAGTTTTGATGTGTACTTAACTAATAAAAATCATTATTCAACTAAAATGGTTTATATGTACAACTTTGACGCGATTACACTTACCCACCAGTGATTATGCAACTCGTTAGATAATCTACAAAGCATTTTCTTTAATTCCTGTGTATGAAGAAATAATTGAATCCTAGAGAATCCGTATGTGAACTGCATTCTTTGTAAAAAGTACATATAAGTAATATCATAAGTAGAGTGCAAATAGTATGGGAGGGGCATCTTGAAACATCACAAGATGTTACTTAGGCTATACTTATCCACTGAGGCATTCTAAAAACATGTTCGTTTAATTATATTTTACGCAGTTAGTATGCTTCTTTAAGGGCATAATTATTACAGTCCATTTACGAAAAAAATCACTGTTTTTTTCGCCTCATAAATTCGCAAGTCTAGACGCTTTTACGTCTTCTGCGACGTTTGATTGGTGTGTTTTTGTCAAGGTATTTTCACTCTAATTGAAAATTAAAGGGAAATTTAAAAAAGTTCAAGTAAAATGGGTTTTAAGTTTTATTCTTCATACATAATAAAGCAAATACATGGGAAGCTCTGGGCTACAAGCAGTACAAAAAAGTATTTACACTTTTAACTGAACCATTTACTGATGTAAACTTCCAAATGAATAAAATGAGATTGTCCAGTGAGTTATAATGTAAAGTGTAAATTCTTTCTGTAACTAATTACTAATGATAAAATTATTTTCACTTGGTATAGACATGTACTTTGACTTAGCTTAAGATTATATGGCATACATGTTTGTACTATTTTTTATTGTTGTGTTGTATACTAAAATATTCCTTTCGGAAATAAGTTGTTAGTTAACGTTACAACAGAACTTGTTTTCCGAAAAAAAAGCAAAATTTCTGTAGTACAGTTCTAGTCTATGGATACATAAAATACGGATTAGTCATGTTAGTTATGCTGAAACCTTAATCAAAAATTTAATTTTTGCTTGGTGAGCCAATCTTTTATGGGTTGAACATTTATATTAGAATACTGAAATTACCGCTGTGTTTATTGCTTTTTGAAAGCACACTTAGTTGTTTAAAACAAACTTTCAGATTCTGGAATGTTGTTAAAACTATCTTTTTAAAAATAGATATTAAATCCATACAAATATTTCTCGATATACATACATGCTTATCGTTATATAAACACTCTTCATAAATTTTCTGCCTTACAAAATATTTTTGTTATACTCGTTCCTTACTTAATAGTACCCAAATATATAAATTTAATAAACATAATATCAATATGTTCGCAAATCACAATAAATTCTACGCCTAAAATAGTGCAAATTTGGAAAGCCTCATCTCCTGAAAATCTAAAATTTACAAATGGCAGACTTTCAATTGCTTATCATTATATTGGCAAATAATACTCGTTTTCGTCTAAATCTAAAGTTTTAAACAAGTCTATAATATACAAAGTAGAAAAAATAAATTGCAGCAAAATTTAATACCCTAATTTCGAAAGTTACAGTCACCATAATATAAACTTTGCTGCATAAATAAACGCTGAACAATAATAAATACAAAAATAAACAGAAAATAAACAACAAATAACAACTATTTTTGTACTATTCCTTTAAAGCAAATTTTGTACCATAAAATAATCTTTTTGTATATACAGAGTTAAAATTTTTATCACAATTAAAAATACAGTGAGGTAGTGTCTTGACGAAAACTGATACCCTTGGAATGACTAGGAATAAAAAAAGACTCTGTATACATTAAAGTTTAGGATGCCCAACGGCAGCAACAAATTTGGATTCGACCAAACAATTTTCCAGTAGAGACTAAACCTCAAACGTTATTTTATTGTTAATTTCACAGCCAATAAAACAATCAAAACCATCAGATATCCTAAACTTCGCATTAAAAAAGAAAAAACGTTCGAGATAATTACGATAGTATACCTTGACTGACTGTATTACTAGACGGCGTAGGTGCCGAAACTTGTAATTGGAGAGCTTGAGTATTTCCTTGTTGAGAGAGTTCAGCCTTTACTCTCCGAGCAATATGTGACCTGGTGTGTTTCCTCAAATGATCCTTTCGATAAAACCCTTTCCCGCACTCGGTACAAATATGCCTTTTTTCTCCCGAATGTATAACAAAATGCAAAGTCAACTGTTCTTTGCGCTTAAAGGCCTTGAGACACACCGTACATACGTAAGGTCTTTCAGGATTATGCGACTGCTTGTGTCTCGTCAAGTGGTCTTTCCGTTTTAATCCTGCGCCACAAATATCACAGACAAATCTGCGCTCTAAAGTGTGACCAACTAAGTGTTGCTCAAGAAGCTCTTTTTCGGGATAAGCCATGTGGCATTCGGGACAACAGTACAACGTAGAGCCGTCCAATGCTGTCGTTAAACGAATTTCGCCAGGCTTAGGTCTAGGTTTCTTCTCCTTTTCGGGTTTTTTCTTCTTCTTTTTCTTGGGTGGACTCGACTGGACTTGGGCAGTGTTGATTGATGATAAATTATTGATGGAACTCGTTCCCAACGTATTGGAGTTTGTTGTTATATTCGTGTTTAAATTCGTACTCAGACCGTTCACGTTCAACGGATTGTTGTGGAGTAGGTTCAAATTGGGTTCATTGTTTTGACTCAGCTGTTGGGCACTTTCTTTTTTTATCGTCTCAGCCGAGTATTTGAGGAAATGATGTAAACTCAAAGGTAAGGTGGATGCTGGCAGGTGGGACAAATAATCAGCGACTGTTGACCCAGGAGTTGCTAAGGACTGCCAAGTGGAAGGCATCGAGGTTGCCGTGTGGTTCTGCTGCTGATTTTGAACCTGTTGATGCTGTTGTTGGTTCTGTTGATTGCGTCTATCATTTTCTTGAGATTCTGTCTTATTCTGCAAAAGAAATTTTGAATAGACTCTACGACTGAGGGAAGAAATACACACTCAATATTCACAAAAAGATAAAAAACTTTTACTTTACAAAATACCTAGACTTGAAGTATTTACACATAATCAAGAAAAACTAGTAGACACAAAACAGTGCCACAAAAATATAAAAAACAATTAACTGTATGTATTAAAAAAAAATATACATTAAGGTTGAACTATGTTATTTTATTCACAGTGTTATCGAAAATACTTTTAACTGCTTTTTATGTACAGATTTTTCAAGAAATATATTTCACTTACAAATAAATGTGATTTTTTTGTTCAAAAACGACACTGTGTGGTAATAGAAAAAAACATAAATCATTATTCTTATTTTTTGAATGTAATATTACTGCCTTATTTTACATAATTCACCTTCTCTCCAAATTTCAGTACTGGAAAGCGATTCATCAAACTTCAATAGTCGTTACCCCTGAAACTATGAATTTCAAGTGAACATTTTTTGTTTACAATTAACATGTTTATACATTCAACGGCAAAGTCTCTTTTAAAAAGAAACAGCACTAAACAATAAAAAAACTAAAAGAAATATAATAAAATTTCACAAGTATAACATTCTACTCTACCCTCAATGTACGTTATTTTTGTAATTTCTTTTTCTTTCGCCCAACTTTTTTAGATTACAACACTTTAGTGGTGTTGTTTAGTGAGTTAGTCACAGTAAAAAATATCTGAAAATTATAAATATTCTTCAACTTCGTAATTCCAGTCACCTATTGACATTTATTACTGTAACAAATTTTATACATATCTATACTAAAAAGAACTGGTAAGTAAAGAATCATTTTGACAAATAAACCAAAAATTATGTAAAAACAAAAAGTTCCATCAAGAAAAGTATAAATGACCATGCGGATGTCTTAGAAATGAAACAGGCATTTTAAAATAATGGATAATGAAGCCTCTAACGTCTTTCATTGGGTGGTTTGTATATACTGTTATTATAGTTCCTTATCAAAATATTACTGTAATTAATGTGCTACTTGTACATTTCGTTAAAAAAAGGTCCTGTTGAATTTTACTTTGCAAGCGCCCCCTTCTGATCGTTTTCTACACAAATAAAAACTCACTCACTTTGTCATTGTTTTGTTTTTCCTGTTGCTGGTTTTGGTTTTGTTGTAGCATAGCGGCACATAATTCCTGAGCCAGCTCTTGGTGCTCATAACCCTGTCGTTTTTCTTGTCGAACGCTGCTTTGGTGGCCATATATTGACTGGTTCATATAATTCGTTTGATATTTACTGGTGTTGATCATTTGTTGTTGAGTAGGAGGATGGTGCTGGGTAAAAGAAGGTACTCCATTTGCAGTATATCTATTGCTATTGTTCTCCTGAGTTGGGCATAGGGTACTGGAAGTGTTTTCCTGAGAAAACTTTGCTGCGAATTGATGTATTGTGGGGATAGCTGTAGGGAAATGACCTCCAAACGGTGTGAAGTTCATCATGAATCTTGTTTTTATATTGTCTGGAAAATCAATAAGCTAGACTTCAATTACACGTTAAAATTACACACTTCTATGCTAATGTTATGTTAATCTTTAAATAGATGTAAAGAATAATCGTTACCCGCCATACCACTAATGTTTACTACAAGAAAAATGTCGCACTATTTACACTAACACTGTACTGATTATACCAAAAATCACGTTTGTCATCGACTTACTTACCATAATTCCAGTCAGAAATTGAAAGTAATTGGGTGATATTACTCACGCGATCAAACATTTACAAAATCTCTGATGTTCGCCATTCTGATCGGCATTGAAGGGTTGGGGAGTAAGGGTTGCGATTCGAATTTCCGCGGGAAAGTTACCCTTGTATAAATGTATTTATAACTCATCAGCTCATTATTTCATGAGTTTGAAAGTTAACCCACTATCAGAAACACTTCAGGCGACAAAAGTTAAATGGGTCTATTGATGTTTGGTACGATAACTTTGCTAACATAAACTGATAATGCACATTTGTTGGCTTAAAACTAATTATAAATATTTTTTAATTCATTAGCTGCAAGATTAAAGATAACAAAATGAGCACAAAATATCGCTTTAATTATTTACAATTAATTCCGCTTGTTGAAAAATTATGTGTGCTATATTCCAAATATTTTTTTTTATTTCGACATAGTTAATTTAGTTCAGACCCATTTCAAAATGTATTTAGCATGACGGGTTATTAATGTTAAAGATACAAACAAATAAATAATTATATATTGATTTTTTTAACTTGTATTTAATGATAAATATGCAAATGCAAGAGTAATTGTGGTTTGACCGTCCTTTTTTTAGGATAGGCTGTGATTAATACATGCATGCTGATCCCATTTCTTTTCAATAAACGTAAGCCACCTAGGTACCTAGTACCTATTATGCGATTATGCCCGACGTGCGCTGATCACAGAGCCCACCCTAAATATAAATTTTGTAGATTACCATAAAATAAAAAAAGTCATCTAGAAGGCGATGCTTTTTTTTAATAAACCGAACAAGGTACGCGTTGGCGTTGCCAACATCATCATATTAACCTTAATTTCATTGTCTACTGGAGAATTTTTAATCATATGGTACACGTAAGGATAATCATAGAAAAAATAGGTACACTTAGCACTACATTTTAATTAGTTTTACAATTTATGGAATAACAAAAATGAGAAGTTTTATTAATTTTGACGAAAATCTGATTTGTCTAGATTTTACTATTTATTTATTTTGTGTGTGTTACAGTCTGACTGTAGTGACTGTTAGAAAGAAATATTTCCAACTATACTGGAAATTCTAAAGAGCGCCTGCTTGTAGATATTAATTCCTATAAATTCCACAAGATATGACCTGAAATTAAAAAAAAAATGTTATCCACGCTACTTATTGTGGTGAATAACCACTTCCGGCAACAAAAATTCAACGTCAAAAATCTCTTTTAAAAAAGAAATACAAAATTTTTAGTTCCTGCAAATAACTACCTACACGTGATTGATAAAATGGCAGCAGTTTTGACTGTTCGCATTTTTGGTGTCTGTCGTCACCAATATTAAAGACAAGAATTCTGTCATTAAAATAGTGATTACGTCTACGACTATAAACTTGGTAAACTTGAGGCCTGGTTGATTTTTTTTTGTTTCTTACAAAAATGGAAAATATATACTTATGTCTCCAACAGATGGAATCAACAGGTGCATGTAATATTTAAGTTTACTTCAAAGCAATTACTCCTATTAAATATCAAGGAGTAGACGAGCCATTGTCCAAGAAGATCAGCTGCAATTTTACTGGTGAATGAGATTGGCGATACTAAGTAACTTGAAAAGATCAGTTGAAAATTCTTGGAGAAGAAAAAATACCACAATAATTATAAATTACGGTGGGATTAAACAGTATTCACAAGCTTAAGTACAACATATTAAACTGCGGGTCGAACCATCACCTCTTCACCTATCTGTGATGCAGACAGCTAGACGAAGATTCGTCACAATGCGCTGATTTCGTCAGCGGAATAACACGACAGCGAGAACCAAAAAGCTGATGGAGACCAACTCTGTGTTCAATATGGAAAAATGATAATAAAAGAGTGCAGGGAACACATAATAACCCAGGGCGGCTGGATCACCTGCGATAATTTGGTCTCCAAGACCACACTTCGTCGCCATATACAAAGTGTTTGCGAAATGCACCGACAACAAAATTGGAGGGGTTCCCGAGAGCATAAGGAATGAAAAAAACTCCTGTTGTATTATCAAAAGTTGCAAAGTAAATTTACCCTTTATCCAAGCTTTATTCGCGCCACTGTAAGAGATGCAGATTCAATTAATTCACGTTTTGTAAAAACATAGCAACCAAAAACTGACAACGAAAGGTGAAGTTTGAAAAATCTCAAGTAAAAAGTCGTCCCGGATTTTTATTAGATAGATAATCTCCGAAAGTACTGGGCCGATTGTTGTCAAATTTTGTATTTATATTAAACATACCATGTAGATGGTAAAACGCTAACCAAAATTTGTCTAATCATCCCCACCACTAATGTGATGACGCCACTTCAAAATTGTACATAGTAAATGGGTTTTAAATTGTATCAAATAACATAGTCTTATACATGTAGTTTATGACTCCGAATTGAGATTTTACCCGAAATGTTCAAATTTTTGGAAAAAAAAATCAAAATTAGGAAACAACATTTTGACATTTAATTTGGAATCTGCAAAACCGAATGCTTTGAAATCTGCAGATGGTTTACAGTTATGATAAGCATGATAAGTTTTTATTCAAAATATATTTACTTGTCCCCTCCAAAAAATTGATGACGTCACCTCAAAAGTTTGCCGAATAAATCCTATCTAAAATATAGAAAATATGATGAATCTGTACTTGTAATTTATCATTCCATTCATATTTTTTGGATTTGCATATACAGGGTGACTCAAAAAATTAATGAATGTTTGAATATATTTTATATATTTAATCAGGAACTACAAAACCAAATGCTTTGAAATCTTGGAGATGTTTTAAAGTTATCATAGGCATGGTAAATTTTTGATCAAAATATATTTGCTCATTCCCTCCTAAAAAATTGCTCACCACTCCAAATTTTTTCCGAAAAAATGCTATCTTCAATGTGCATTGTGCAAAGTATGATGAGTCTATAATTGTGATTTATCACTGCATAAATATTTCAACCCCAAAAAATTGATTACGACGTCTCAAAACACTTTTATTAGAACATTTCTTTCTTAATGATATCTACTCATCAGACCAATTTTCAGTTTTTTTTTTGTCGGTGCATTTCGCAAACACCTGTATGTATTTACTCAAGCGAGGCAAATTTCAAAATCTCGAAATCACTGGACAAATAATGCCAGTGTTTCCAGTGGCGGCTCGTCAGGGGAGGCAGGGGAGGCAGTGCCTCCCCTGGAAAAATTGACTATTAGTTTTTGTTTTAATATCTGTTAACTTCAATATATTTTAAAGATATAGCAAATAACTTTTATAGAACCCTGTGATTTATTAATACGCATCTTGGTCACATATTTGAAGTACGCGCTTTCGACAGGAATAAGCGCTGATCATCACTGTGTAGGCCAGCTTCAGACGGAGGCATGCCTCAGCTAGACGGATATCTTCAGTATGATTAGTCAGTGGTGCTAATATGTTTTTGAGAAAGACAATAGTCATCAGTGCTTTATCAAAGCGCCAGCGGAGGCACCAACGCCTACCGTCCTTAAGCCAATCAGATCGAATTTTTTAATCTCCCGGTGAAACGGCACAATGCTGAACAGGGATGTTGAATGCATTTAGTTGTGCATTAATTAGATGCAAGGAAAGGTGTTCACCGAGGTTATGTATTAAAACTTTTAAGTTAACTTGAAAACAGTAGGACAATGAAAATCTCAGTTTTGGAATGCTGATAGGAACATAAGAATCCCTAACCTCCAGAATTTCTTATAATGTTTAAATATTTAAGCACGGTTTTCTTACCACGAACAATTATAGGTCAAAGATTTAGAACCTCTCATCCACATTTGAGCAGAACTTTATTAATTAATTGATTAATATATTTAAATCAGCCCTAGATCATATGAATTTTATTTTAATCCTAATAAAGCAAAATCTGTAGTCTTTACACCTTCTCGTTGGTTTGTGTGAAGCAATTAGGTAAATGTTTTTTATTCGAGAAGTGTACCCATATAGAGATGTTCCTGACTTAGAGTTATTTGTATTGTTTTCATAAAAACGAATAAACAATCTGTCTTTTAACAAAAGTAATTGCGAACATGTTAATTAATACCTGCCGCTTTTGAAACGAAAGTGTTGCCTCACCTAACGAAAAGACCACGAGCCGCTACTGAGTGTTTCTCAGGAAGAAGTTTTTATTTTGATTGAAGAGATGACAGAATCTATGCAGAGCGCTCTCATCAGAAGAGCACAGACAGCCTAGCAGTTTATCTCTCAAGTTTGTCAGTTTTGACATTAAAGTCATAAAAGACTTAAATAAGTGAAATACCAACGCAGAAGATGTTTTAATAACGAACAGAAGATAAAAACGAAGCAAATCAGTTCAGAAGATGTTCAAAATGCTGTCCACCACTTCTTTCACATGCCTGAATACGGTTCCTGAAAGATCTTCTAACTCTCATAAGCATCGCCGGCGTTATAATATATACAAGCGACAGTTATTCGGTGTTTCAGATCTTCTATATTGTTGACAGGATGTTTAGTAGACACGATTTTGACCATTCCTTATAAAAAGTGATCTAGTGGAGTTGTATCAGGACTTCTAGGGGAGCAAGGATTAATTGAACTCCTATCTATCCACTTATTCGCATACACTGCGTCTAAATTGTGTATCACGTCTCTGTGGAAATGCTTGGTGTACGCCATCCTGTTGAAATCACATGTTTTGTATTCATTGTATATTTACCTCGGCTAACGATATTAGCAGAATGTTTCTCAGAAAATTTAAATACACTTATTGACCGTTTAGTCTTTCACAAAAAAAGTATGGTCCTATTATAATTTTTTTCCACATTATTCCACATCAAGCATTTGTAGAATAAACTCTTTGAAAATGTCCTTTGCGAATCTATCGAGGACTATTCTGAGCATAGTAGTGACAATTGTGTTTATATACACCCCCATTGTTGCTAAAAAATGCCTCATCACTGAAAAGCACATTTTCCAAAAAGTTTTGATCTAAAATGGTTTGTTCCCAAACAAATCGACAAAAATTAAGTCTTTAAGGCAGTTTGTCAAGGTGATATGATAAAGTAAAGA